AATAAGAAATTATTCAACAGCACCCGGATACCAACTGAGTTTGCGAGCGCATCCGGAGTTGCAACAGCTCGCGACAAATTTAATTAAAATTAATGTATAGCTGGCTTTTAATTAAACGTCAAACATAGCAAAAAGTGCGCCGTGCTTCATTCAACCGTGCGTGCATCACAAAAAAAAAGGTACACCGGGAAAAGCCCCAATGGCGATAATTATTGAAATTTGGATGTGGTCTATACAAATATGTTTCGCATTTATCATCTTGTTTATAATTATCAAACACATATTGGTTATATTTTGAATAATGCAATTTTTAATCAAAGTAAGTATTATTGTTTTTGTTTTCTTACTTATGAAATAGAATTAAAAATCCACTTTAATTAAGCAAAACGTAAAAGAAACAAATAAAAATGTTCTTCCATTTCTACACCGCCCCCCCTATTCACGCAACTTTCATTAAGAACTCAGGCATTAGTATTCAATAGAGGCCATTGAGTAATTGGAGCTTCGCTTGATTAGAACTTCAGCAACCTCCTCTCTCATTGTTTGGGACGAGGTAACGAGAGAAGTCCTCGAATCCACACCTCCGAGTGACTTAATTAATCGTGCCACTATTCAGTAACTTTATGACGATAAAGATTCTACATAATTACAGCAATTAGTTTTATCTTAAAATCTATTGTCGATTAGAAAAAAAAAAGTTTTCACGTAGAATTGAAATTGTAGGAATTGAAGGTAGATTTAAGAAATGATTTGCAATGGAAATATCTCGTCCTCTTTACCTCATCAAAATTGTAAACAGCAAACTCGGTCGATTCTATCAATTTAGCACTCAATAGTAAGCCGGTGGTACAAATCAAAAATGTGTAAAATAACCTTTCCTCGTTCGCCAGAATTCAATCTTCCCGATGAATTATTCATTGTTACGTTGATTTAACATCGAAGGATTTTAGTTCATGCCGAAATCAAATGGAGGAAAATTGTTAAATTTGTTTTGTGTTGTAATAAACGGCTCGACATCATCGAGTGCCGAGATTGTTCGCGTTTGGGGTTTTATAAGAAAATAGTATTTTACGATCTGCACCATTAAATTTCCTTGATTTATTATCAATTCGACGATATTTACAACGGTTTGGGTTAACGCAATAGGCGCCTCACAACCGTTCAACTCGATAAATGGTCATAAAATTTCGAGTTAGGTTATATTCGTAAACGGTGACCTGGTTCGAAATTATTACTAACTATTAAAAATTCTTAGAATTTATCAAATTTGATTTATTTATTTAATATATCTTTACGCTATAAAGCATATCGATGTGGGATATATTGTAATTAGTTTACATAGTCGAAATCTCATAGAAAGCTCCATATGGATTAGATCTAGGGCAATGCGGCAATATCGGCTTGGCATTAATAATTAATATTTTAGAGCGTACTCTGCATTACATGTAATCCCGTTCAATCTCCATTTCGACATTGAATCATTTAATGGATCAGTTATCGAAACTTAACGTGACATCTTTAAAATAAAAGTGATTTAATCCTCATTAAACCATATCTTTTGTGTTATGTAGTGATTAATTAGCGTAATACTGGGGTGTAATCCGCATTAAGTACCCTCACGTCCGTCGAGTGGATTCACTAACGTATTAATTAGAGACCGTCACTGTAGGCGTCGGCGTCGCCTTCGTTTTGACATTCCCCAACAAGTAAACGTTGACTTTGATGTTATATATCCCTCAAATCATAGTCGTAGATATTGTCCGGTTTAAATTTCCCGGTCATTCATTCTATTCCGAAAACCTCGTTATAGTCACTCTCTCGTTCTCGTGCGTCGTTTCACTCACTCTTCCTTACAAATTTCGACCCATTTTCGTTCGGCATTATCCTCAGGGACAAATGGCAGCGGCATTTGTTTAACCGCGCGCGTTATTACCGTCCGAATGCCATTTCGCGTCGAAAGAACTCGGCTAAATTGACCTCGTCTCTTCTTTCCTTCGCATATTACGCCACTTTTACGGTGGCGTCATCGACAGACACCACACGAATGAATTTAACAATTATGAGGAATGAAAAGTGTTGAATTGATTTTTATATAAATAGATGAGTAGGTTGTTTTTTTATTTAATAATATAATCGGGCACAGTCATTTAAAGACTTAAAGAATCACAACTGCATGAATAGTTTTAGATCATGAGGGATTCAATGATAAATATCAATCTCACCATAGATATATGAAACTTAGATACTTTGGATTAGAAGTTATGTTAGATTCTGCGTGAAACGCGATATCACATTCAAAGATGCAAAACAACGTGGGAACTCCTTTGGGTGTACATCGTCTACACGCTATACATAATATGAAAATTATGAAGTTTGCCCGAGCAGTAATGGGCGAATTTTTCTTCGTCTGGTTCATGAAGGCCACATTTTATGGTCATTTCGTCGTAGGAGAAGACAAATACAAAATCAAACCTTGCTTAGAACGGCTCCGATCGTTTGGAGTAAAATCAATTCTTGATTATTCGCTGGAGCAGGATTTACCTGAACAGGAAGCTGAAAAACGTGAAGTAGATGGTTCTGTACTGAAATTTGGTAACATGGATTCTTTGAAACAGTATTTTGTTAATGAATGTTGGGTTGGGTTGGGATTGCGTTGGGTTGGGATGGGTTGTGTAGGGTTGGGAAAGAATGAAACACTTGATAATCAACTCAAAGCAAGCTATCTCAATCGTAAAGCAACTCAGCCACAAGGTAGTTCAACTCCAGATGAAGCCATCTCAACCCTAATGCAAATCCCCCACTAAGTAACTTAAGTCCAAAGTAAATAACTCAAACCACAAGGTGGTCCAACTCCAAAGTAATCCAACTCTCTAGAAAATCAACCCCAAAGCAAATTAACTCAAAATAAGCCATCCTAACCCTAAAGTAACTCAATCACGAAGTTGCAGATAAACTCCTTAACTCCAAATGAAGCCAATCCAACCTTAATGCAACATAGCTACAAAATTCCAGATAAACTCCTCAACTCTAGATGAAGCAATGCAACTCAAATATGAGCTAACCCTACAGCAACAATATAATCTAACACATTGCAGTTAAAACTTGACATAAACCCAAGCCAACTCCACACCAACCTAAGATAAACCGAAAGCAACCAAGCCACCCGAAGGTCACTCAATCATTCAAGATTGTTCACTTGCGAGAAATGCTCTCGAGAGAAGCTGTCGCGAGTAGTTTTTCTGGTGGACACGCATCTGAGAGTAACTATCAGAGAGTCCTCATCAACTTTCGGATAGTGGACAGGTTGAGACTTGTACTCAAGTGGACACGCACAATTTATCTATCGTGAGAGTAATTGTCAAAAACCTAACACTGTTCGAATTTTGCTGCGAGTTTTATCAATACAACACGTTTACAGATGACGCCTAAAAGAAAATAGTCCCAAGAAGACATATATGAATTAATTGAAGTGTATGAAGAAAATTCAGTTCTTTGGAATACCAAATCTAAAGAAAACGGGAAGCGAGGGATGCAACTTTAACAAGTATTGGACAAAAATTTAAACGGGATTTATACCATTGGTAATATCTAGTCTTCTGACAACATAATTTGGTCTTCTGACAGTAAAATTAAGTCTTCTGCTAATAGTGTTTGGTTTTTTAGTAGTAGAGCGTAGTCTTCTGTAAGAAGGATGTGCTTCATTTGCAATATCTAGTCTTTCACTAGCAATACTTAGTCTTCTGCCATCAATATCTATTCTTTTGCAGCAATATTTCGGTACAGTATTTCGTCTTCTGGTTGTAGTGTGAAGTCTTCTGTAAGAAGAATCTGCTTCATATGCAACATCTAGTCTTTCATTAGTAATACTTAGTCTTCTGTCAGCAATATCTAATCTCTTTCAGCAATTGAGGCATTTAAGCTTATATTTTTTAATAATTTTCCAAAATACAGCCAAGCCACTATTAAGCTATCACTTGCACTACAACAAACTTATAGTTTGCATTTATAAGTGCCATTAAAGCAATCGAGTTCACTTTTTTGTGAATCCAGTATGCCAAATATCTAACAATTTGATAACGAATGTTGATATTTGTTGACACCCAACAGCTTCTTTTTAGTTTTTTCTGTTGAAGCTCTCGGAGAGCTAAAACAATCTCAAGCGGACACTCTCAGTTGAGAGTAGATATCGAGACTTACTCTCAGAAGTTTCTCTCAAGTAGACACCTAACTTAAAGCATGATCACCAGAAGATATGAAACCAGTTAAAAACACGAAAGAAAGATTTCAGAAAGATTATTAGATACTTAATATTTTAAATAATTTCCTTTAAATGAAACTTTCTTTTCAATTCTTAATCCAATTACAATTAAATTTTTGCTCGAACAAATCTACAGACGATTTTAATAATGGTATACAAAATACACTGTAAACAGTTGTAAAAGAAAGCTTAAAGTTTAGAAACGGAATTTTTTAACAAACTTTATATACCTTCTTCCATAAATTTTATTGGGAAACTTGGTACCAACTCTTGAAACAAAGGGAATATCTAAATAATTATACTTTTATGATCCATTAAAAATTAACGGTACTATTTCCTAGAGTCACTATTTCCTTATCCAACTTTTTATTACGTTAACATTTAAAACTTTTATCATTCAAAAAATAATCCTGTCACATTTAACATGTACCTATGTAATGATAAAAGATAAAATTTAATAGTGAAAAAGTGTGTTAGGAAAAAAAACTGTTCTTTTCCGCAAATAAACAAAACAATGCATGTTTTTTGCGTGTGTCCCATTGAAACGCAAATAAATCAAATCGATACAAACGTCAGTTTCTCTTCTCCCCCAAGTGATATTACGGGGTTGCCACCAGATCCCCGTGCATTACGGAGGCGCGGATCGGCGGCGGGCTGCGCCGATCTTGGTGGCGAACGCGCCGGCGGACGCAAGTCTAAACCAGTCGTTCACCATCCGACAAACCCGCTCGAACGCGATCACCATCGTCGCAGCCCCCGCGTAAACTCGTCGAGAGATCGTCAAAAAGTTTTACTTTTTTTCCTCTCTTTGTCTCTACCACTCACTCGAGAGGTAATTTTCATCCTCGTTTAACTCATCGTCATCGTATTTTGTGCTGGACATGTGAACGTGTTTTGAACGTGTTCTTCGTGTGAATGTGAGAAAGAGTGTATGTGTCAGTGTGAGTGTTGCAACCGATTTGATTGTGTGTTGAGTAATTGTGTCATTTCACACATCTTTTTATTTTTCTCTTTGTGGATACCTCGCACTCGTTTTTCTAAAAGCAAAACTATCGAGAAGGATTTGATTTTATTTTATTTTTTTTTTTGATTTTCCCCAAAAGTTATTGAAGAGTAATTTTCAATTTATAATAAGTTTTCGAATGCGTGTCGTCAAATGGCTATAAATTACCGTCACGTGTCTAAACTTCCCGCGTCCCGATAACTATAGTGGAAACTTGATGAAATATCGCCTGGGAAATACGAGGACGTTTGCCAGATAAAAATTGGGGGGTACTTGATAATTTAACAACGTCAGTGATAAATGATACAAGTTGAGTTATTGCTAAGACTTACTTTAACATTAAAAAAGGAGCTCAAATAGAATTGTAAATTTTTATGAAACAAGACAGATTTTATCTTCATTATATAGCGTAGGGTAAAAAATTTCGAAAAAGTTTAGTAATGTTTAATGTTCCGCAAATTAATTGTCTTGATATCAAACTTTTATAACCTTTTTTTTTATGAAACTGTGTCAAATGCAGGAAAGCTCTGCTATCCAATAATTGTCGTGCAATTTCGATGCAATTCTAGATTCGTCAATAGTATCCAAACGATATGGAAATACTATGCTCCATTTATCGATAAGTTGATATACAATGTTTAGATTACTAGGTTTGATGTCAAATTTGATTCTTAAAAGCTGTGTTACCCCAATACACCAAAACAGAGATATTTAATGTTTTAGAAATCGAATTTTAATTTTAAGGGCAAAAAACTTTTTTACACACTTTAGAGGTTTGCTATTTGAAAAAATGTTCGCAAACTATTAAATGTTTGAGTGAGCCAGTTAAGAGTCGGAAAGAGTTGTTACATTTCAAGTAGCACGTAGCTAAGCGATTATGCTGACACTTATGTAAATATTCTCTAAACCTTTGACCTTTTAAAATAACCAGTCTCTACTTATCTCCCTGTGCGAGTAAGTACATCTTGGTGGCTATTGCTGAATACGGTATATATTTTTTTAAGAATATTTAATCGGCCCTTTTATTCATATTTTTTAACTATTTTCAAATCAATTATAAAACTTTGTAAAGAATATATTCTAAGATCTTCAACATGTGTCTATACCATTGAGATTTTCCATACAAAGTTAATATTTGTGAAATTACGGCACTTACATCCTTCAAGTTAGACTCTCTTCAAATATGCTAAATTGTCTTCCCAGATAAATGAGTCAATATTTGTCCTTTATTATCCTTTCATGAGAATGGCGAAACGAGTATGCGACACATTGTGTCAGAGATAATACAGATTTCGATATAGTTTTTTAACTTTTCTGGCTTGTGATATCAGTGGTTTCGCAATCATTTCCTCGGTAAGTTATACATGTCCATCTTAGACGATCTCTCTTTCTCTCCACAGTCTTGCTTGTATCATATTTCTTTACATCCGCATCTCCTATAAATAAATTTCCTAGCTTCTTTTGTATCTATGTGTCTAATTAGAAAGGGTAACCTACTATTTTAATTGTAAATTTATCTGATATTTTGTAATCACCCTGATATTATTTAGACTCACGCAGCAATTTAATTGGAAAGAACATAACAGTTTAAAAAGAAACCAAGTTTTATTAAGGGTTTTTGCCTTACAGTTGATAGCGCATTGAAAACAAATTGTGGTGGTGTTGTTGTGATTTAATCATAACACTCGTCGAAGCGAGCACTCCAGTAACAATGTATGATGTTGTCTTTAAAATCGTATATTACATTAAATTTGAATATATACAGGTTGTTCCAAAATTTTGTTATACATCGACTTACCTTATCTGTATGTAGCAAATTGCTTCGTTTAGCCGGTGTTAAGTTGAATAAAAATATGGCTTCTTCCTTGCTGATATCAAAATAGATGTGATATTTCTTCTATTACGTCAAGACTAATTAGGATTGTTTAGTTGGTTCAATTCACTAACTAGAATTAATATCATTCCCCACGTCTCTTAAATCTTTGGCCAACCTCAACTTCAAACCATAATGGCATAAATATTATTTGTGTTATTTCTCAACATTATCTGTCAACACTCTTAACATTAATCAGCAGTTAACTATTTTGTTCCAACATTGTTCCAACACCGCTAATCTAGACTAATTCCATTGGCCCTCTCAAAATCATTACTAACTGCTCTCAAAATCATCTCTAGCTACATTAATTGTACTCCACACATTTTAAAGTCATTTTTCATTTACAACATCAACTCCAATCTCCTAAACATTACTCATGGTGTCTCTTGACATCGTCCCTAACATTTTTTAACTTTAGTCACATTTTTTAGCAATGCTCAATCTACTATTTCAAAAAAATGTTGTTCATTAAATAGTTACGAATATACCGATTTCAAAAATTAAAAATACTCAGTGACAGAAAAAAAACATTTATTACTCTAAAGTATTTAAATAAATAAATACTTCAATTTTGTTTCAAAAACGTTTACTCTGCCGATAACAATCAATTTTTTGTTATTTATTTGTTTACTACAAATTCCACTCTGTATTTACAATAAATTCACAACAACTTCAACATCGTGTAGGAATTTTTTAATATTTGTGCTGATTTTTTTTTAATTAGAAAAAATGTCTGCAGGTTTTAAAATAAATATAAGAATTGTTTTCATTGTTTTCGTAAAGATGAAACAAGACCTAACAATTCAATTGGTTACCGGAAACGTGCTCAGAATGCATTTTCCCTCAACAGTATCGGGTTATACGCGAATCCAAATACACCGGGCAATTCGTTACTCGTCACGAATTCAAGGGAAGTAACCACGTTCTCGTTCCTTGTAAATACGTCGAAAGGTCAATAATGAAATTTGATATTTCTGAAACTATTCCATGTTCTATTGGGAATAAAACTAACCCATTTGAGAAATTTTCGTTCCAATCAAAAATTTATTTCGTATATCTTTTAGTTTTTTTTTCTCGTCCCGGTTTTATCCGGTTAATATTCCGGCACACTGAGCGTTTTTTAATGCCTCGAAGGGTTTTCAAAGCCTCTTCCTCTCCTTTTGAAAACAGAACTCTCAGTTTGGTCTTGTCATCTTTCTGCTGCAACAGATTTCCCATCCAATCCTTGATGTTAAATGGAAAACGCGACCGAAGGTTTACGTTTTAGTTTACGTTCTGCATTCGGGTGTGTTGAGTTGAATTGTTTGTGTAAGGTTTTAGTGGTTAACCAAGCGCGAAATTAATTTAATTTGATTAGGACAGTTCAATTACTAAAATTCTGGATGATTGAGAAAGATATGTTGAAGGAACAATTTGTTCTTCTGACAGCGTTGAAACGCAAAATTTGTCTTGTGCACTACCCACTTGATAGATTACAAAGTTTATTAAGATTTGCCACGTGTTGCTTCTGCTTTTCTCCATCCACCCTAAAGTTACATCCCTAAAATTGGATAGATTAGATGATGGATTGTTTTTCATCTTCTTTAGCCTCATCGACTTGGTTGACTTCGCCCCCATTTCAATTCACCCAGATTCAAGTCTCGCACACTGTGACAGTTTTTGTCAACGCGTTAATTTAATCACACCATCTGATAATTGAACGGTGCCCTTTCTTTAGCCGCCCTTTGGGATGAGATAATTAAATTCTATTCGAGGGTTTGTACCGAGGCCATAGTGTATGGGGGCATGCGGAGTTGATTTACGAGACGAGCGTGTAGTGCAGTCGATTGTAGAGAGGGTGCGCTATATACGTTGTACTCCTAAAGATCTGGTGTCGACTTCGACGCACGGTTTCGAGTCGACACCCACGACTTGTCGATTAACGCCTACTGCTCAGGAATTTGGGACGCCCCTTCGCTTTATTTATAGCCCCTTTACGACTTTAATCGGGGCTTCCCAACTCGTTTCAATCAACTCGATTGAGGGTTTAAAGTTAATATTTTAGGAATAATTTTTTGTAAATCGTTTAACTTTAGCCTCGCATCATTTGTTGGGTTTTGAGGCAAGTTTGGATCTCGGTTTGGGTTTAATGACGTAGGAAACTCCATCCCCAAACTGAATAATGCATGACAGGTCACGAGAGGAGAAGCTTTCACCGGGTGCCGCGCGCCAACAGCGCCAAAACTCTTATATTAAATGCCTCACGACATTCCAAGGATCGTCTTGTAATGGGAAAGCTCCGACCTACAACGAATATAGGCTATATTGCAACGAGAAAAAAATATTCATATTTAAAATTGAAATGTCTATTTTGGGTTGTTAAGCTGATTAATTTAATAACGCAAACTCCGGGTTAGTATCCTAACTCAATAGACGCGGCTCACTGAAACTTTTTGTTTGAAAATAATTGGACCTGATTATGCCGACGAGTTGTAACATTGTTACCCGGAGCGCCCTCTATATATCGCTGCGGGAAGAACTTTCAAAATTGTCGCAGGTAGTTTACAGTATGAAAACTGCGCGCACAGGAAAGTCGCATCCAACTTCTGTGTATTTATCCGTAGTAGGTAAACGCGGTTTAATTTCGAAATTGGATAGTTTCCGGGCAAGTTTTACTAAAAACAGATAGGATAAGGGGAAGAACGGGAAAGCTCTTACTTTGTTAGAAAGTTAGAAGTTGCCTTCTTATCTAAAGTACTAACGAGTACGAAATCATTTTCGTTACATTTAAATTTTTAATTACATCAATCGCGAGTGCGAGGTATTCCTAAACAAACATCATCCATCATTTTTATCGATGAGGTATTTTCTTTAAAGTAATCGCATGCCGAAGCTTAAAGTCTGATCCGCGAATGGACTCAAGATTGGACGGAGAGATGCGTCGGTGCCAAGGGACCGCACGTGCAGCTCGAAATCCATGAGATCCGCGTTTATGGCTGCCACGGAATTGCATTTGATCGCCTCCCTTCTTCGGCTTCTTGTCGGTGAGTTTCAAACGAAATCGAAAAAATCTCATCATTTCAAATCACTTAACAACAAATTTATTTTAAATTTCAATTAAAATGATTTAAATAACAATATTAATGAAATTTAGAGATATATTTAGCTTTAATTATGGCTTATGCCACAGCTAGAAACAATTTTGTAAATGAAAAGTACTTTAATTCAATATTTTCAGTACCTATTCCGATGCAAATAGTAGTTTTCTGCATGCAATATCTATTCTTCTACAAGAAATATCTAGTCTTCTGCAAGTAGTAACTAGTCTTCCATTAGCAGTGTCTAAGTAATTTGTCTACTGCAAGCAATATACTAGTTTAGAAGCAGAATCTAGTCTTCTGTTAGCAGTATCTACATCTTTGCAAGCGATATCTAGTCTTTTGTAAGTAATAACTAGTCTTCTCCTACCTTTATCTAAGTATTTAGTATACTGCAAGTAGTATCTAATCTTCTCCAAGCAATATCTAACCTTCTGCAATCAATATACTAGTTTACAAGCAGAATACACTCTTCTATTAAGAGTATCTAGTCTTCTGCAAGCAATAACTAGTTTTCTACTACCAGTACCTTCAGCAAACAGTGTCAAATCTTCTGCCAGCAGTATTTAGTCTTCTAGAAACAGTATTTAGTCTGATCCATGAATGAACTCAAGATTGGACGGAGAGGTGTGGCTACCACGGAATTACATTTGATCTCATCCCTTCTTTGGTTCCTTGTTGGTGAGTTTCAAATAAAATCTTATTATTTCAAATCACAAAAAAAGCTGAAAATTTATTTTTTAACTCGATAAAAAATTTTGAAATGAAATTGAGCTATCCGGGTGTAATAAATTTGAAACTTTTCGTCCCCACTAAAATTATCATATCTTCAACGTCGCAGTTTTTCCTCCGTTTCTGCAATCTCGGTTCGAAATTGTTTAACTGCAATTTGCAGACGGAGACGTTTCCTCCGGAAACGACTTGTACGGTTTCCTTTTCCCTTGGATACTCGGTTCAGTTGAGCGAGTCAAACCCCTTTTAAATTAATTCTCGAAAAATGTAGTTTGGAATTTCCGAGAGAAGGCATCTAATTAAAAATGAACTTTGCAAAGCGGTTATTAACAAAAAAAAAAAAAAAGAAGTAAATTCTCTCGTGCACATCGTAAAATCCTGGTCCCAATCTATTCATAATCCAGGTGGAACGTGTTCTCGTAGAATCCGTCGCCATTCAATAACCGTTATATCGGAGATTTGCTCGGGGCGTTTCGACAGTGACCCTTTATATTGCAGAAAAAGTGCCCCATTGGATTTCTATTTCCGATCGTATCTGCGAGATCGAGTCAAACCCTTCGAGTACCACTTGTCACCCATAAACTTTTCCCTGACTCTATTGTATGTCGCAACTGAGTGGAACGTTAGCATTTCGGAAAACGTTCTTTAAACGATGTTGTATATTGTATACCTTAAAATGTAAGTATATAAATATAATCGAGTTAAATTTTTTTTTAATATTATTCGTATAAGTTTCGAGGGAAAATACCTCGGATGCAGTGGTCACACATAAATTCCATAATTTGAGAGTTTTTTTCATTCCCCGAGCTCGTTTTTGTTCTAATTTTCGTCGCACCCGTTCCCCAGTTGGAAAAACGGTTACAGCATCACAGGGAAATGCACCGTTAAATATTAATTTTTCCAACTACCGTGGAGTGGATAATTATTTTCGACTCGACTTTATTGCGGTGAACGTTTCATAATTGGAACGTTTATTTTGGCAAATTCCCTTTTGTTATAACATCGAATACATTACCGACACACCCATTTCAATTATAACTATCATATTCCATTTTTAATTGATCGTTTTACCAAAAAAAAAAAATTTCAAAATCATAACGCACGTTTTCGACACAAAAGACAAAAATTCACTCGATATCCGCGAAAAAGAATAGAATTGATTGATGGGGAAGTATTTTATGAACCGTGTCAGGTACTTGCAACAGGAACGGCTCGTTATCTTCCACTTATGGCGCATTATTCCTGCTCGATTTAGTTTAACAAATTGACAATCGATGGGAAACATGTCGTCGTTGTATTGGATTTCGATAGATAGATGATGACGTTATCTATACCGTTTATAGCATTTGATCTAAACTGTTAATTAACTGAAACTAATTGGGATACTAATTATGTTACAGGATCTATTAATACTGGATTAATCAAAAATAAAGCAAAAAACAAAATTATTTTAAAACGAAAAAAAAATTCTTCATTAATTAAGCAATATCTAATCATCTGCAAACAATATATTACTTTATAATCAGTATCTAGTCTTCTGCCAGTAGTACCTACATCTTTGCAAGCACTAACTAGTCTTCTGCAAGTGATATTTAATCTACTGCAAGCAGTATCTAGTCTTTCCCAAGCAATATCTAACCTTTTGCAAGCAATATACTTGTTCATAATCAGTAGCTAGTCTTTTGCCAGCAGTAACTTGTTTCCTACAAGGAATATCTCATTTGCAACCAATAACTAGTCTTTTACCAAAGATATTGTGATAATTTTAACATTCTCTTAGTTCACCGAGAGAACATAACCTAGAAATTGTGACAGAGATTTTTGTTGGTGAAAATCTTATCTTAAACCGTTTTGTTTGCTTCCAAAAGTATCAATTATTATAGTTCAGCTCCTAAAGCACATTTTTCATCCATCTTTTGAGATTTTAACGTTATTTTGAGGAAGAAATCCTTGATTTAAATTTGAATTTTTCTAACTTTACTCATTGTTGAAGTTTGGCGTGTACTCCAATGTATGTCTGAAAACAGGAAAAGACAACGTTGAATACGAAGTTTTATTACGTTTCATAAAGGAATAAGGGAGAAATCAACGAAAAAAGAATTTAATTTTGAAGGTTAATTCCGAGAAAAATCAAGAGATGACGCTAGTTTCGAAGCAAGAATTTTGAATTTTGAAAAGGGCGCGAAGCTAAGAGCCAATCAGAAACGAGGAAAAAACAGTTGGAGTGCCGGGGTATATAAGGAGATCGCGAACAGGGAGTGAGCGAGTCGTCGTCTGACCAGCGTCGAATCTACGTCGTCAGATAGAAGAAATTTTGAATCTCGAGAGATAACCTCAAAAATTTAAGATAATTTTTTAAAGTCAAATCAACTTACGATATTAAAATAAAAAGAGAATCATCCTACAACCTATTCCGAGAACTACTGATACTTCTTCGAGATCATCCAAGACCCTATTTCCGAAGAACAAGCAAGTTCAATTTCCCGTAAGAAGAATCCTGTAGACAATCCAGAAAATTAGTTAGTGCCCCGAACACAAGAGACAATCCATAATCCAGATACCACATTGAACTCCAATCCTCTCTTTTTCGCAGTGAGTCGGATGATAATTTTATTTTATTTAACATAACCTACAAAAAGAAAAATCAAAGAATCAAACTCAAAGAACAATTCACAAGAGTTTCCTATAATTTTGATCAATACTTACTTGTGGGTAGAGATTTGTTAGTTTTCTTGAATAACGTTCATTTACTTAACTCTATTTTTCTTCAACGAGTTTGATGACAACTTAAGACGTCAACCATTTGTTATTTTCAAAGAACGGTTCTAACGAGTTTTATCCTACTCTCTCTCTCTCTCAAATAATAAACGGGTTCTCTCTAATATCGATATTTCAGTCGATAACCGCAGTTATCTAGTTTATTTAAAAGTTATCTCTCGTAAATAAGCATTCTTATTAAAGTAAATTTAGGAAAACAATTTTTTTTTGTTACTCATAAAACGAGTTAATTTGATTTTGTGTTTAATTAAATGAATTTTTGTCGAACCTGATTAATTTTCTTTTTGAACTTGCCCGAAACCCTGAGTTTGATAAGAGTCTCTTAAAATTAAAGAAACCCAAATTTATAGTTTAATAACTTGTGTAAAAACACACAAGAAAAACATCACAATATCTAGTCTTCTGTACTTAGTAACTAATTTTCTGTAAGTAGCAAGTAGTTTTCTACTAGCAAACAGAAATTTTGTATAACTTTTATAACGATTGTGATACTAGAATGTTTTGTTTAGCTCATTTAATGTAGTATATATAGGTACATACATAATGCAATACATTGCCTGAGAATACAATAGAAATGTATTTAAGGGAGTTTCATAAATTGCCTATTATATTAGCTTTATTTTGGCCACTCATAATGATTAGAAAAATAGACTAAAAAACAATTAAAGTGGTTAATTTGTAGTCGAACGATTTTTTGATTAATTACAATATTTTTGGTGTTTTATTTATGTAAAGTTTTTAAGAGTGTAAAGGTGTAATTAATCAAATTTCTCGCTTATTTTTAATTGTATAAAATTAAAACTTGTTTAAAACCCAGATGAAGCCAGATAACTGGAATCCGTAATAAAATTCGTTGGAAAAAGTATTTCATAAAGCGTTTCTGTAATAGATATCTAGTTAAACCAACCAACCGTGTTTGTTCTCCAAACTCACCGTTGATATATGGGAAAAGTTTAGGATCCTGGGTATGGTAGAGAAGCGGATACAGCGGTGGGAAATTTTTAAATGATTTTATCATCTACGGCTGCATAACTATATTTTCCAAGTAAATCCTACATTTCAGTGTTTCCGTTCTTACATTTTTCCTTAACATATCATTAAACACATGTAAGTAATTTATTTTGTTAAAAATGTGGGGAGGAATATTATTTTGTAAAAATATAAAGTAAGAGGTAAACAAGGAATCATTTAGCGGACGATTTTCCTGGCGAAGAGCGGAAAATACTACCCACCCATTAATGTTTATAAAGGTTGTAACGTGTCGTTATCTCGCCATTCCAAACGTTCATGTACAAGACACGAAAAAAAAATAAAAGCGGCCACAAAAAACGAGTGTCGCGTACGTAATTTCATTCGCGGGGCCTTGTTTTATGACCCACCTCATATAGTTACCGGGGGAAAAATACAGCGGTTTTCTCCGGTTGCGTTATTTCCTTCAGCAAAATAGATCTCAATTTCACGTTTTGATAATAAAAGTTATATACTCGACTTACCAATCTTTTTCGTGAAAGATGAAAAAAAAAATAGTTAAATAAGAAAAGCACGAAATCCTTTATTACTACTACGTATAAGGGGGTTACCTAATCTACCAGTTCCTCTTACATCCAACCATTGACAGTGTCAGAGCGAGATCACGGGATTTTTCCGAGCGCACAAAGAAAGACGTATTATCCGAGATAAACCTCCGGTGAGGTTCGGACGAACGAGCCGGAAAACGGAAAACAATTAAGATCCAGTCAATCTCCCTGCTGTCCGCTTCGGAGACGGCCTCCGCTGCAGGTCGAAAAATTCGCAAGATTTATGTTCTTACGTTACAGGAATTGAATTTAAATTCGCCGATAGATAAAGTCCGGGACGCTCGGCGTGGTCGTAATTTCAACCGCGAACCTCGTTCTACCGGTATACTGTGCTGGTGGTTCATTTATCCACCGTTTGCTGAATACGAATCGTCCAACGAACAGGATGTCGTTTACTAAAAGATTTTATTACCGAGGTTTCTGAAGAATTACAAATCAATTTTGGGCAAATGAAAAGCAAGAGTTGGTATGGCATAAATAAAAATTGGAAATAACGTGCTTTGGGTGTTTTTTGTACATAGTTTAGCTGTTGATTTTTTTTAGGTGTGAGAGGTATGTGAGGGATCTGTCCAAAAAAGTCACACTCAGGTACCTTGGAAGTGAGTTGGGTTGGGTTTGGGTTAAGGTTGGGTTGGGTTAGGTTGAGTTATGTTGAGATTATTATTGAAGCAAGCCGTGCGTCCAGCTGACGTGTGGCCTCTTTGTTGTTGAGGTAAAATCAATCTTCGTTTTCTATAATACTCCCCCATACAATCAGATCGCTGGTCAGAATTCGCAGTGATATGGCTCACAGCCAGGGCCAAAACATCTGTGTACGCCAATTTTGATGCTAATTGTATCCGGCAAACTAAAAAAGGCAGTACAAGACGCTCATACGTCCTGTAGTAAGCCATGGATCTGAAACATGGACACTCAACAATCACAGCTTTGAGAAAAAGGATATATAAGCCAAAATATGATACAAACCTGGGAAGATGGAGACAATAATTAATTAACTGCGAGATAAGAGAACTGCAGGTAGGATCAACGTGGATTAAAGCCCAGAGGCTAAGGTGGCTGAGACACGTGTGTAGAACGCCGGCAGAGAGAGTGGCGTGCATGGTAGTCACTCAAACACCAGAGGGCCGTCGATCAAGAGGAAGGCCAAAGAGACGATGGAGGAACAATGTTAGGAACGATTTGAATGCCTTTGCATGCAGAGCTGGGACAATTTAGCCCAAAGTCCATAAGAATGGAAGCGTGTTGTAGAAGCGGTTAAGGCTTACAATAGGCTATAGTGCAATAGTGTGTGTGTAGTATCCGGCATGTCCGTAATGTAGATATTGAAAAGAGTTGGCGCAACTACAGATCCCTGTTATTTAATATTTCTGTCATAAAGCATATTATTCAGCAGCAAGCCCAGTGTCTAACAAGGGATTAGACTTAGGAACTTAAAGAGCAGTCCTTCCCTCCATACAGCCGCTGTTTGATCCACAGCGACGTAAGATGTCTTCTCCCGGTTCTGAAAGCCAACCTCGATATAAGTTATAAGGCTTAGAACCTGATCCATGCAGCTCTCTGTAATCTTATCACCAATTCGATTTAGAATGAGGCGTTCTGGAAGTTTAATGTAGGTACGTGGTGCTGCTTGCAACATACTTTTGACATGATTCGACACTGCTTCCAGAAGACTAGATATTTGGCAGAAATAATAAGTTTAAGCATTTGGTTTAAAACCGTCATAAAAGATTCCCAAAAATAGGATGTAATTCAAAGCAACGTTTCGTAGATAGTAAAAAAAAAAGGAAAATAAAACACACAAACAATTTTTTTCCTATTTATCGCCGCCGCCATAAACGACAACTACATTGCCCGATTTTACTACATAACCGTATCGTAAAAGTACGAATTCAATTATAACGTTAGAATAAACGTCGAGTTTTCAACGTCTTTATTATTTTTTAACGAACTGGTTTCCTTTTTTTATGTGAATCCGTTACGGATCGTGCCGAGTTGGCATCTTTACTAGGTCAACTGAAACCTAGAGAAACTTAGACGAAGCTCATTTTGAAAAAGTCGAGCTTTGTGAAATAAAATTACGCAATGTGATATTAAATTGATTTCCACCGCGAATAACTCATAAATAACGTCCAAACAATTAAATTATTAGTGTATAATATGCGTATGGGTTTTTGCACCCGGATTTCCAATTTCACACGTCAAATATTTACTGAGGTTCCACGAAGCGTGGACAGTGTACGCACCATTGCGATATTATAATTATTTGCGACCCTATACGTTATCACAATGGATATGGTAAATTATAATAAAATAAATTACTCGCGGAATTTCGCTAATTTATTTTTATGGTAACACCTAAATATGGCTTTTGGGACACATTTCCCAACGTATACACTAGTTTGTTCCAAAAAATTTCCATATATGCATTACGGAGGAATTCCGTTGAAGAAATTTATTCGGAACGCCGCCGTCGAAGCTTTCAGTGAAGGATAATATATTCTGTCGCATGAGAGTGGAACCACATCCTCCGGTCGCTTCGGTGAAAAAATTATAATAAAGTCGCCACACGCCACACATTTTTTGCATATAAACACATATTTGCGCCCTTATACGAACCCACCCTCATCTTTGTTGTTGGTAAAAGGATCCAAGTTTAAACTCTATCTCATATTCTCACTTTATCCAAAAAGAGACGTCAAGTATATTTCGATACAATCTTTATTATCAGAAACAAATTGAAATTGAATAACATTAAAACGAAATAAATTAAAACTACATACCTAATATTCCGAAACTCAAAATGCCGCTATAACTTCTCCTTTTCAAGTGATAATTTCGTTAGCGTGTCCAATCCGGTATCAATTGCACTTCCAGCAGCTTGCAGCAATGCAGGTTTATAATTCTATTAGTCCCAAATTGGAATTCAGGTTTTAATCGTTGATTTATCGCACCACTCCATTGAGAAGTAAATTGGAAATCATTCTGTCAAAAATGAAAAAAAGGTTTTTATTCTAAATCTTTTATAACTTTTCTTCTCACATCCACTAATATAACGAATATAAACTGTTGAAGTGATGTTGAAAATTAAATTTCAATTTTATTTATTAATTTAGTGAGTTGA